TGAGTGCATATGTTAGTAAAGAAAAGAGATCTAAAACCAATATTTAAGCTTCCACCTAGGAAACTACAAAGAGCAAATCCAATCCAAAGCTGGTGGTATAGTGGTGAGCATAGCTGCTCTCCAAAGTAAACAAGAAGAAGGAAAATTAGAGCAGAAATCAATGAAATTGAAATAGGAAATAATAAAGGAGAAATCAGTGAAATGAGAAGCTTTTTCTTTGAAAACATATATAAAATCAATACACCTCTAGCCAGGCTAACTAGGAAAAAAGTTAGGACGCAATTACTAATACCAGAAATCAAAGAGGGAAGATCATACAATTCATATAGACATTAAAAGCATAATTAAAATACTTCAAACAGTACTATGCTCACAAATTTGCTAGCCTAGATGAACCAATTCCTTGAAAAACAAAATTTGCCAAAACTCAAAAGAAAAAAATAGACAATCTGAATAGGCCTTTATATATTAAAGAATAGACAATCTGAATAGGCCTGTATGTATTAAAGAAATTGAGTCAATTAGTAGCCTTCCAAATCAGAAAGCATCAGGCCCAGATGAGCTCAATGGCGAATTCTGCCAAACATTGAAGGACAAAATTATGCCACTCTTTTCAGAGAATGGAAGCGGAGGAACTGCTCCCTGACTTGTCTGAGTCCAGTGTTGCCCTGGATACCAGATCTAGACAAAGGCAATGCAAGAAAACTACAGACCAAAATCACTCATGAACACAAAGAATTCCTCAACAAAACATTAGCAAATCAAACTCAACAGTGTATGAAAAGAATTATACATCACCACCAAATGGATTTATTCCAAGTATGCAGGGCTGGTTCAACATTCAAAAATCAATCAATGTGATCCATCAGGTCAACAGGCTAAAAAAGGAAAATCATATTAGTTGAAGCAGAAAAGGCATTTGACAGAATCTAACACTCTTCATGATAAATCAGAAATAGAGAGGAACTTATAGAGTATCTACAGAAAACCTCTAGCTAAATCTACTTCATCATGAGAACCTCAGAGCTTTCCCACTGGAAACAAGGCAAAGATGTTCCATCTCTCCATTGCTTCTCAGCATCCCTGGAGGTCCTAGCTAATGCAGCAAGACAAGAAAATCAAAGGCATACACATTGAGATGAGAGAAAGAAAAAACATTTTTGTTTGCAAATGGACATCTATGTAGAAAATCTCAAAAAATGGACCAGAATGAGCTCAGAGCAGTTATAATATTGCAGGATACTGTACTACAGCAAAGCAATGACAAGTGGAATTTGAAATTAAAAACACTGTTTCCATTAGCATTCCTAAAAATGAAATACTTAGGTGTGAATCTAACAAATGATCTCTATGAGGAAAACTACAAGACTGATAAAAAAAGAAAGAAATCAGTGTAAAGATATTCCATGTTCATGGATAGGAAGATTTAATATTGCCAAGATGTTGGTTCTTCCCAACTCAGTCTATAGATTCAGTGCAACTCCAATCAAAGTCTCAACACGTTATCTTGTAGAAATTAACAAAATGATTCTAAAATTTTTATCAAGAGGCAGAACCCCAGAATAGCTCAATATTGGGGGACAAGAACAAAGTCAGGACTGGCACCGCCCCCACTTCAAGACTGACTGCAAAGCTGTGGTAATCAAGAGGGTGTGGTTTTGGCCGAAGAGTGGATAGATGAGTGGAGCAGAGCAGAGCCAGGAAATAGACCCACAGAAGCATGGGTCTTTGACAGAGGAGCAAAGGCAAGCCAGTGGAGCAATGATATTTTCAACAGATTGTACTGGAACAACTTCCCAATCCCAAAGAAAGGCAATGCCAAAGAATGCTCAAACTACCATACAATTGCACTCATCTCACACTCTAGTAAAGTAGTGCTTAAAATTCTCCAAGCCAGACTTCAGCAAGACATGAACCCTGAACTTCTAGACGTTCAAACTGGTTTTAGAAAAGGCAGAGGAACCAGAGATCAAATTGCCAGCGTCCACTGGATCATCGAAAAAGCAAGAGAGTTCCAGAAAAACATCTATTCTCCAAGCCAGGCTTCAGGAATATGTGAACCATGAACTTCCAGATGTTCAAGCTGGTTTTCGAAAAGGCAGAGGAACCAGAGATCAAATTGCCAGCGTCCACTGGATCATCGAAAAAGCAAGAGAGTTCCAGAAAAACATCTATTTCTGCTTTACTGACTATGCCAAAGCCTTTGTGTGGATCACAGTAAACTGTGGAAAATTCTGAAAGAGATGGGAATACCAGATCACCTGACATGCCTCTTGAGAAACCCATTTGCAGGTCAGGAAGCAACAGTTAGAACTGGACATGGAACAACAGACTGGTTCCAAATAGAAAAAGGAGTATATCAAGGCTGTATATTGTCACCCTGCTTATTTAACTTAAATGCAGAGTACATCATGAGAAACACTGGACTGGATGAAGCACAAGCTGGAATCAAGATTGCCAGGAGAAATATCAATAACCTCAGATACGCAGATCACACTACCCTTATGGCAGAAAGTGAGGAGGAACTGAAGAGCCTCTTGATGAAAGTGAAAGAAGAGAGTGAAAAAGTTGGCTTAAAGCTCAACATTCAGAAAACTAAGATCATGGTCCTATCACTTTATGGCAAATAGACGGGGAAACATGGCTGACTTTATTTTTCTGGGCTCCAAAGTCATTGCAGATGGTGATTACAGCCATGAAATTAAAAGGCACTTACTCCTTGGAAGGAAAGTTATGACCAACCTAGACAGCATATTAAAAAACAGAGACATTACTTTGCTAACAAAGGTCCGTCTAGTCAAGACTATGGTTTTTCCAGTGGTCATGTATGGATGTGAGAGTTGGACTATAAAAAAAGCTGAGCGCCAAAAAATTGATGCTTTTGAACTGTGGTGTTGGAGAAGACTCTTGACAGCCCCTTGAACTGCAAGGAAATCAAACCAGTGCATCCTAAGGGAAATCAGTCCTGGGTGTTCATTGGAAGGACTGATGCTGAAGCTGAAACTCCAATACTTTGGCCACCTGGTGGGAAGAACTGACTCATTTGAAAAGACCCTGATGCTCTGAAAGATTGAGGGCAGGAGGAGAAGGGGACGACAGAGGGTGAGATGGTTGTATGGCATCACTGACACAATGGACATGGGTTTGGGTGGACTCCGGGAGTTTGTGATGAACAGGGAGGCCTGGCGTGCTGCGGTTCATGGGGTCTCAAAGAGTTGGACATGACTGAGCGACTGAACTGAACTGAAACAACTGAACGTCCACATTAAAAAAAAAAAAAAAGAATCTAGACACAGACCTGACACCCTCTACAAAAATTAACTGAGAATGGATGACCAACCTACACACATAATGCAAAAGTGTAAAACTCCTAGAAGATAGAAAATCTGAATGACCTCAGGTATGGAAACGACTTTTTAGATACAACACAGAAGACAGGATCCGTGAAAGAAATGATAGGCTGGACTTCATTAAATGTAAAACTTCTGTGAAAATGTCACGAGAATGACAAGCCACAGACGGGGAGAAAGTCTCTGCTAAAGACACGTCTGATAAATGTCTGTTCTCCAAAACATACAAAGAAAGCTCAAAACTCAAGAATAAGAAAACAAACTGATTTTAAAATGGGGTGAAGACTTTGTTAGATACCTCCCCAAAGAAGATACAGAGATGGCATATAAGCACATGGAAAGATATTTCACATCATATGTCATTGGGAAAATGCAAATTAAAACGGTGAGTCACCACTGCACCCGTGAGAACGGCCAGACTCCAGGACACTGCCAACACAAGATGCTGGCGAGGATGTGGAGCAACAGGAGAGCTCACTCATCGCTGCTGGGGTGCAGCGTGGGCCGGCTGCTTGGGAAGACTGCGGTTTCTTACCAAGCCAGATATTATTGTCACCATACGATCCAGCAATCATACGACTTAGTATTTACCCAGAGGAGCTACAAACATGTCCACATGGAATTCTGTATAAGGATGTTCACAGCAACTGTATTCCTAATTGCCAAAACTTGGAAGCCACAAGATATCCTTCAAGGTAAATAGATAAAACATGGCCCATCCAGACAATGGAACGTTATTCAGCAAAAGAATAGGAAAAAAAAAAGCCATCAAGCCATAAAAACAAAAACCTGTTGGAAACTTGGACGCATGTCAGCAAGTGAAGAAGGTTAATCTGAAAAGGCCACACAATGACACTGTGACATTCTGGAGAAGGAAAGCTCTGGAGACAGTAACCAGACCAGGGGCTGGGAGGGGAGAGACGGCTCGGTGGAGCACAGAGGACTTTGTGAAACTTCCCTGTGTGACCCCGTAGTCATGGTGGATCCCTGTCCGGGCAGTTGTCCAGACCCACAGGACGGGTGACACCAAGGGTGAACCCTGATGTAAAATAAACATGGGCTCTGGGGGATGGTGACATGTCCGCGTGGGTTCACTGACAGATGTCCTGTCTGGTAGGAATGTTGATGCTGGGGGAGGCTGTGTGTGTGTGGTGGGGGATATATGAGAAATCTCTGCCTTCTGATAGGTTTTGCTGAGAACCTAACACTGCCTAGGAAAGTAGAGTCTATTTAAGATAATAATAACGTCAGTTTAGGGTAAGAGAACGTCTCAGTCATTTGGAGCTGCCCAGGGTGGGCTGAAGTCCTCCCGCCACTGCAGACAGTGCTGTGTCTGTGTTGTTGTGTTTTTTACAAAGTAAATTATTAGGAACAGAACTGTAGAGTTACGAGTGTGCGTGTGACCCAGGGGGTGGCTCTCCCTGTGGACTCGGCTCCCACGGCAGGCTGGGCACCCGTGCTGTGGATCGAGACCTGCAGGACACTAGGGGCATAGCACCTGGGGTCACTCGAAATAGACACGTTCTACGACGACGTCAGAGCTGCGCATGGCCTGGTTTAGAGAAGCCGGCAGCGGCTTCCCCGGTCCCTTCGGCCTGCGGCTGTGCCTGCACTGCCGTGCCCGGCAGTGACCTCTGTGCTCGACCTCAGGCAGGCCGACGGCCGCAAGGTGCTGCGCTCCAGTGTCCGCGAGTTCCTGTGCAGCGAGGCCATGTTCCGCCTGGGCATCCCCACCACGCGGGCCGGCGCCTGCGTCACGTCCCAGTCCACCGTCGTGCGTGACGTCTTCTACGACGGGAACCCCCGGCCCGAGCCGTGCGCCGTGGTGCTGCGCCTGGCCCCCACATTCCTCAGGTGAGGCCCGCACACTCACGTCCCTAGGCCAGGGGCTGGGCAGTGAGCCCAGAGCCACAACCTGGGGTCTGTGACCGGGGGCTGCATCAGGCGCGCCGGGAAAACGGCCTCACCTGCATCGCTGGGCAGGTGGCCGTGACGCCCAGCACGCCCGCTCCCAGTGCCCTGGGAGCACTGGGCACTCCTGTTGCCAGGGGCCTGTGAGTCCTCGCAGTCACCAAGCTGCCTGGAGTCGAGCACTCGGTACCAGCCACCTACAGCCAGTCGCCAGGAGGCAGCTGTGGCAGTCTCGGGGATCAGGGGACTCAGCTGATCGCACAGCTCAGCTGTCTCCGGCCTCGCCTTTGTCTCTGGGGTGGAGGCGCCGGGCCCGTCTTGGGCCTGTTTCGGCCGTGGTAGCTGTGTCTGGATCAGACGGTCTGCTGAGGGCTGGTCTGTGTCATGTAGGCAGTCGGGCAGCACCCCTGGCCTCCACCCATGAACTGCTGGCGGCCGGCCCATGTGATCAGCAAACATGACTCTGGACATTGTCCCGTCTCCTGGGGGTGTAAGTGCCCCACTGCTGACCCCAGCTCACCCCAGTACAGGCTGCCTCCCTCCGTGAGAGACAGCATGGATCCCCTCATCCCTGCAGGGTGGCCATGGCCGTCCCGCCCCACGTGCCCTGGGAGGCGCCCTATGTCAGCCTGTGTCCCTGAAGATCAGCCGTGTTTGTATGGTTTGTCCCCTGCTCTGGCCACAAACGCTGCCAGCAACCCCCTTCCCGCTTCACTCAGGAGGGGCGGCGTCACATTTAACTGGCTGTCAACGTGGGTCTCCCCTGCAGGTTCGGATCGTTCGAGATCTTCAAGCCCAGAGACGAGCACACGGGCCGCGCAGGCCCCAGTGTGGGGAGGGACGACATCCGGCTGCAGATGCTCGACTATGTCATCAGCACCTTCTACCCCGAGATCCAGGCGGCTCACCCTGGGGACCCCGTGCAGAGGCACGCCGCCTTCTTCCGGGAGGTCAGTGGGGGCCGTCCCCTGAGGGTGGGCACTGGGTGTCCTGCCCTCTGAGTCCCCTCCTGTCCCAAACCCCCATCACCACCCACTGGCTTGGCCCAGGGCTAGCTTCTCAGATGCTGAGGGTCAGGGTCCTGGGATGGACCCCCATTTGAGCAGCCTCAAGGAGCTATGCAGAGATCTGGGGGCGGAGTCAGGGCTGGCAGGTGTTGGGTCTCCCACATGGGGCCTGTGCGCACAGTGGCCCCCACCACACACCCCTAAGCCTCTTGATTTGGGGGACATGCTGACTTTCCTGGCTCAGGCTGAATGCACCCTAGAACTCTCAGGTATGGTCCCTCCCAGGGCCGTGCAGGCATCCCCGGCGGTGGCCACAGTGGGAGGGGTACAGCCTCAGCCCGTGGCGTGGAGGCGGCAGGGCCGGGGGTCTTCCTGAGGGCTGAAGGCTCGCAGCTGACACTGTGCCCCAGAAGTGGGCCCAAAGCAGCGCTTGTTGGGCCCCGCCTGCACCCTGGGGACCAGGTGCAGAGACACGCTGGGGAGGTCTGGTCCCTCCCCAGACCCCCCATTCAGTCACAGTTTCTTCCTATCTGTCACATGGGCAGTGCCAGGGAGACTTGAGGCTCAGCTCACACCCACGGTAGTGGCCTGGGTCGTCCCCCACCGAGCCTGGTCTCTTGGTCAGTGAAGCTAAGTGTGGTGCCGTCCAACGCAGGCAGCGCCCGCGACCTCAGAAAGCACGCTGCATGTAGGCTGCTCAGGGGGCCACGGGCCATCTGGTTGGTGCACCTGCGGCTCACAGGGTTCCCCCTGGCTGGGTGCAGGGTGGCAGGGCCGGTGCTCCCCCACTGGCTGGGTGCGGGGCGGCATGGCTGGTGCTCCCCCCCGGCTGGGTGCAGGGCTGCAGGGCCGGTGGTCCACCCTGGCTGGGTGCGGGGCGGCAGGGCCGATGCTCTTCCTGGCTGCCAAGGTGGGCCGGTGGAGCCTCGTCCCCTGCAGCCCCGGGTGAGGCAGGACCTGGGGCAGGTTTGCCTGATAATGTGGTGACTTGCTTCCTTCTTCCAACATGGTCATCCCACGTGGGGACCTGTGTCGTGAGAATGTCAGGGTTCCCTGATGTCTCTGGTTTGGGTAAAAGCCAGAATAGTGAGTATATAAGAGACGGTGGTGTGGGGGGGGGTTTCCTTCTCACATGTCCTCGGGCATTCTTTCCAAGTCAGGACGGGACACTGGGCAGGCCCCCAGGAGTCACACAGTGCGAGACCGGCTCAGCGGGCACTGGTGATTCGGGGAGGGGCCGGGCCGAGGGAGTAGCGGCGGCTGTCCCATTACAGGTGACTCGGCGCACGGCCCGGCTGGTGGCTGAGTGGCAGTGCGTGGGCTTCTGCCACGGCGTGCTCAACACGGACAACATGAGCATCGTGGGGCTCACCATCGACTACGGGCCCTTTGGCTTCCTGGACAGGTGGGCGTCCCGCTGCCCGTTGGGGCCCCCGGGGAGGCCCACGTCAGCACAGGCATCACAGGGCACCAGCCATCACAGGCCAGCATGGCTGCTTCTGTGAACATTTTGTTCATGTTTGATTCTCAGCAAGGCCTGGTCATTCCCAGAGCAGGAATCCCCCAGTGGGCTTTAGCACAGACACGTTTAACCAGCACCCTCTGCTCTTGGGTGAAAAGTGGGCTGAAGGGGCAGGTGAGGCTGCAGGGCCCTGGGGGACGGGGCAGGACAGTGGCGTCCACTCGGTCCCTCGGTGGGTCCCTTTAGGCACCACCCCACTCTTGCCCGTGTGGCAGGTACGACCCTGATCACGTGTGCAACGCCTCCGACACTGCCGGGCGCTACGCGTACAGCAAGCAGCCTGAGGTGTGCAAGTGGAACCTGCAGAAGCTGGCCGAGGCCCTGGACCCTGCGCTGCCCCTCGAGCTGGCCGAGGCCATCCTGGCGGAGGAGTTCGATGCCGAGTTCGGCCGGCACTACCTGCAGAAGATGCGCCGGAAGCTGGGCCTCATGCAGACTGAGCAGGAGGGGGATGGCGCCCTGGTGGCCCAGCTCCTGGAGACCATGCACCTGACCGGTGAGTGGGGGCGGGTTGCTCACGAGCTGTGGCTGTCTGGGTCCCCGTCTCCCGTCCTCCGGGACTGCCTTTGCAGAGCATGTGTGACTTCCTGGCCAATCCGGCTTGGAGGCCCAGTGCTGCCCTGCAGAAGTGGCCAGCCAGGCGCCATTTGCTGTTCCTGCCCTTGGGGAAAGCATCTTTCACGCAAGCGTGCCATGAGCCATGGGCCAGTTCACACGTGACTCCTCTCACTAGAGTACGCTCCCTTCTATCCACTGCTGCGTGCTTTCACACTGCGTCAGTCGAAGTGACCACGTGGTTTTACTTCTTTGTCCATATCCTGCCTCCGTTTAAAATGCTTCTCACAGCCTGGAGGCTGGACGTCCAGCCTCGGGATGCCATCTGCTGGCTGCGACCTCACAGGAGCACGGAGCCACTGGAAGGGCTGCAGCCTTGTCCCTGCCTCCCAAAGGCCTCATCCCCAAACACCGTCCCCCCGAGGTTTGGGTCTCCAGCTGTGAATCTGGGAGGGGACACACAGACACCCCTTGCATTCTGGGGTAAATCCTACATGGTCTTCTGGTATTTTGCTGAGGTTTCTTACGTCTGTACTTGGAAGGGACACTGGTCTGTAGCTTTCTTTTCTCATGGCACGTCTGTTTGGCTTTGGTATCGACACAGTGCTGGTTTCATGAAATGAGTTGGAAAATGTTTCCTCCTGTTTTTTAGAAGAGTCTAAGGACTGGTGTTAACTCTTCTTTAAACGATCGGTAGAAAGAAAAAAAAGTTGGGTAGAATTCACCGTGAAGCTCTCTGGTCCTGACATTTCCCGTGTCAGGAAGTTTACAGTCTCTTTACTTGCTATGGGCCTAGTGAGATTTTCTTTTTCTTCCTGAGTCAGTTTTGGTGATTTATGTTCTTAGGAATCTGTCATTTAAGTTATCTGAATTACTATTCATAGTGTCCTCTTAGTCTTTTATTTGTCTAATCAGTAGTGATATCCTCACTGTTACTTTTTTTTTTATTGTTTTCAGTTAGTCAGTTCAGTCGCTCAGTCGTGTCCAACTCTTTGCAACCCCATGGACTGCAGCACGCCAGGCCTCCCTGTCCATCACCAACTCCCGAAGCTTGCTCAAATTCACAACAGTTGAGTCGGTGATGCTATCCAACCATCTCATCCTCTGTCATCCTCTTCTCCTGCCTTCAGTCTTTCCCTGCATCGGGGTCTTTTCTAATGAGTCAGTTCTTCGCAGCTTCAGCTTCAGCATCAGTCCTTGCAATGAATATTCAGGACTGATTTCCTTTAGGATTGGCTGGTTTGATCTCCTTGCAATCTAAGGGAGCCTCAAGAGTCTTCTCCAACACCACAGTTCAAAAGCATCAATTCTTCGGCGCTCAGACTTCTTTATGGTCCAGCTCTCACATCCATACATGACTACTGTAAAAACCACAGCTTTGACTAGACGGGCCTTTGTTGGCAAAGTAATGTCTCTGCTTTTTAATATGCTGTCTAGGTTGGTCATAGCTTTTCTTCCAGGGAGCAAGCGTCTTTTAATTTCATGGCTGCAATCACCATCTGCAGTGATTTCAGAGCCCCCCAAAATAAAGTATCTCATTGTTTGCACTGTTTCCCTATCTATTTGCCATGAAGTGATGGGACCAGATGCCATGATCTTAGCTTTTTGAATATTGAGTGTTAAGCCAACTTTTTCACTCTCCTCTTTCACTTTCATCGAGAGGCTCTTCAGTTCCTCTTCACTTTCTGCCATAAGGGTGGTGTCCTCTGCATATTTGAGGTTATTGATATTTCTCCTGGCAATCTTGATTCCAGTGTGTGCTTCATCCAGTCCAGCATTTCATATGATGTACTCTGCATAAAAGTTAAATAAACAGGGTGACACAAGGTGATACAGCCTTGACTGGTTCCAATTTGGAACCAGTCTGTTGTTTCATGTCCCATTCTAATTGTTGCTTCCTGACCTACATACAGATTTCTCAGGAGGCCAGTTAGGTGGTCTGGTATTCCCACCTCTTTAAGAATTTTCCACAGTTTATTGTGATCCACACAGTCAAAGGTTTTGGTGTAGTCAATAAAGTCAATTTTTTCTTTATTGTTTTAGCTAGAATTTTGTCAATTTTACTGATCTTTTCGAAGAACCAATTTTGGTCTCATTCTCTCACTTTTGTTCTCTATGTATCTCTGCTTTCATCTTCCTTTCTGTTAAGTTTGGTCTTATTTGTTCTTTTTCTATGTCCTTAGGTATGAGATTAGGTTATTGATTTGAAATGTTTTTATTGAGAAGTAACTGATATGCAACATCTTACAGGTCTCAGGTGTGCACCATGACATATACATGCAATGGGAAATGATCACCACATGCAGTCACATTTTTTTCTGGTAATGGCAGCGCTGTTCTTTTAGTTCAGACATATATAATGATAAACTTCCCTCTGAGCACTGCTGCTTTTGGTTCATACCTCCAAGTGTTTTCTCATTTCCCTTGTGATTTCTTTTTAGACCCAGTAGTTGATTAATTTTAACATTGTTATTCAGTTGCTAAATTGTGTCTGACTCTTTGCAACCCCATGGACTGCAGCAAGCCAGGCTTCCCTGTCCCAATTTGCTCAAACTCAGGTCCATTGAGTTGATGGTGCCATCCAACCATCTCACCCTCTAGTTTTCCTTCCATTTGTGACTTCTAGCTTCTTTCCATTGTGGTTGCAGAATACACCAGTGTTCTCAGGGTACTGAGACTAGTTTCATGGCCTGACGCACAGTCTGTCCTAGTGAACGTGCACCTGAGAGCTTGGGTGGGGCACTGTGCTTGGTGTCCGTTGTTTCCCTGTTGACCTTCTGTCCAGGGGTCAGGCGCTGATACCCCTGCTCCCACAAAACTGCTAGACTCTGCCCTTCAGCTGTTTCTTGTTGTTAATTGGAGTACAGTTTCCTTAACACGTATGCAGGAATTTCCCCAGCGGTTAAGAATCTGCCTTCCGACGCAGGGGTCGTGGGTTTGATCCTTTGTCGGGAAACTGAGATCTCGCGTGCTGCAGGACAGCTACGCCCTTGCACAACTGGAGAAGCCCCACGAGCCACAGGGACGGCCCCGAGCAGCCAAGAAGCGTTTCCCTTCAGCTTTATGAGTGTTCGCTTTCTGTGTTGGGGGCTCTTGTTTGACTGTTGTGTCTTCTTGCTGAACTGACTCAACCACATCTAAGGCTCCCCTTTGTCAGGTGCTTATATAAAGTCTACTTTCTGGTGTCAGCATAGCCACCCAACTTCTTAGGTTACTATTTGTGTGAGATATTTTTTCCATCTTTTTGCTTTCAACTTAAGCGTCTTCATACTGTCATTGGATCATGTTTTTTATCCATTCTGCTGGTCTTTGCTCTTTGAATAGTGACATTAATCCACTTACTTTGGGGGGGAGCAGTCCTCTCAAGATCTTAGTTCCCCAACCAGGGGTTGACCCCATGCCCTTGGCATTAAAAGCGCAGTGCTAACCACTGGACCAGGGAAGTCCCAGGTCCATTTACTTTAAAAGTTAACTACAGATAAGGAAGAATTTATGCTGCTTTGTTGTTTTCTGTCTTACACCATTTTTGTCCCTTATTTTCTGTCGCCATGCTCGTGTTTAGGTGGTTTTTTGGGCACACCATTCTGGCTCCCCACTCACTTCCTCTTCCGTCTGGTTTCTGGCCGTTTCCTTAGGGGTCATGGTGACACTGACGTAGCCAGCCAGGCCAAGGACACCACACAACAAGGCCGGTTACCGCAGGTCCTCTGCTAGCTCAGCCTTGCAGTTCCCAGAGCGTGCAGTGCTGAAGGCGCTGACAGCAGCGGGGGCCAGGGCCAGCCTCGGTGCCTGGACTGTTTATTCAGGTCACTGATAAAGAAACTGGGCTTGGAGGCCTTGGGAGACTGAGTGACTTGTCAGGTTCAGAGTGGGCACCAAGCTGGGGGAACTGAGAACAGGCTGGGGGTGGGGGTGGTCAGGAACCCCTGGCCTGACGCCCAGCAGGGCTCCACACATGTGCTGGATGAACACGTGTGGTCATCTGGTGACGGGGCTGCGCCCTGAGCAGCTTTGTGTTCTAGGGGCTGACTTCACAAACTCCTTCTACTTGCTGAGCTCCTTCCCAGCCGCGCCTGAGTCCCCAGACCTGGATGAGTTCCTGGCCACGCTGACTGCACAGTGTGCCTCCCTGGAGGAGCTGAGGCTCGCCTTCCGACCCCAGATGGATCCCCGGTGAGTGCTTGGGTCTAGCTTCCTGGGAATTTGTTTCCGGAAAGGGAGGAATATTTAGAACGAAGCCATGGGTGGTCAGACTCTGGCTTTGTAGCCCTGAGGCCCACTCGTCAGAGGAAAGGACGTGATGCTGACGCTGGAATGGGGGGCCAGGCGGCACAGGCTGGGGCATGGTGGTCTCTGCTCCAGGGAGGCTCCCCAGGAACAGCCTGGGTGTGGCCCGCAGTCTCCAGCCACCCAGGCTTTCTGCACCTTTGTGCGGGGAGGGGGGGGGGGGGTGCGGTCCACAACTCAACCCATCAACAAGTTTGGTGCCCAGCAGAAATCTAGTGCAGCTGTGCCGGGGAGGCTGAAGCTGGCAGGACCTGCTGAGCCCAGAGCCAGGGTGACTGAGAAGGGGGTGTCAGGGGCTGCCCTGCCCCCCGCCCCAGGCGGAGGATCCAGCTCTGTTGTCTCCATGGGCGGAGTCAACAGCGGGAGACTGGCCTGGCACGTGCAGGGGCTGCCACAGAAGGAGTGCGGGCGGCTGGTTGTGTTCTCCCGTCTGCCCCGCCCACCGCACCCGGGCTCCGCCCTGGCGGGGCCAGACACTGCGGTGTGGCGGGCCGGGAGGGCCGAGCCCAGGGCCCCTCACGCGCCCGCTCCGCGCAGGCAGCTGTCCATGATGCTCATGCTGGCGCAGTCAAACCCGCAGCTCCTGGCGCTCATCGGCACGCGGGCGAGCCTGGCTCGGGAGCTGGAGCGCGTGGAGCAGCAGTCTCGGCTGGAGCAGCTGAGCGAGGCGGAGCTGCGCAGCAGGAACAGGAGCACCTGGGCCGCGTGGCTCGGCGACTACAGGTGCCTCCCGCCCCTCCCCCCACCCCCAGCGCGGGCCGGGCTGCGCGCTGACGCCCAGTGGGTTGCAGGGCCCGGCTGGAGAAGGACCGGGAGGCCAGTGGCGACGCGGCCGCCTGGCAGGCTGAGCGGGTGCGCATTATGCGCGCCAACAACCCCAAGTACGTGCTGAGGAACTACATCGCGCAGGGCGCCATCGAAGCTGCAGAGAGTGGCGACTTCTCGGAGGCAAGTGCTGCCCGCCCGCCCCCTCACCCTCCGGGCTGCGGAGGAGGCCGGCCCCCAACAGCCCCCCCCCCCTTCGCCCCGCTCTCCGCCCCCCTGCAGGTGCGGCGGGTGCTGAAGCTGCTGGAGACACCTTACGGTGGGGAGGTGGAGGCCGCCGAGCCCGAGGAGGCCTGCGAGGCCGCCGAGACCCGCGGGGCAACCGACCGGCGGCGCTCCTATAGCAGCAAGCCCCCGCTCTGGGCGGCGGAGCTGTGCGTGACGTGATCCTCGTAACCGCCCTGGGGGCTCCGCGCAGGAGACCCCAGGGCCGAACCCCTGAGTCCACGAGGCGGGCCCCCCCGTCTCTCCGTGACGGTGGAGACGTCCAGTCAGGACCTGACCCGTCTCTGCCCGACACTGACTCGCCACCCTTGCCCCAGGCTCTGCTCCCCACGACAGATGCCCCACGCTGGCACCACACAGGCCCGAGGACCGGCTGCTCAGCCTCCGCCCACCTGGCCACCTGGCGGGGGTGGGGCGGGCGGGATGAGGCCCCCCAATAAACCGGCAGCCTCCTCAGTGGTCCCGCGTGGTGGTTCTGCCCCCGCCCGCCCCGGAGACAGAGGCTGGAGTGCGGGCACATGTTTATTGCGGCCGAGCGGGGGGTTCAGGCGTCCTGGTAGTAGTTGTTGAAGTTGATGCGCAGCAGGAAGTCCTCCAGGTGGGGCTGGTAGCCGCGGTTCACCAGCTTGCTCACCACTGGGGGGGATGCAGGTTCAGTGCGCGGCTCGGTACCGCCCCCAGCCCCAGCCCCACCCCCGGGGTGCCTCACCTTTGAAGAGGAAACGGGAGTAGTACTTGAAGGCGCTGTAGGACTGCTGCATGAGGGCAAAGTTCGGGTGCTCGGGGCCCCGCGGGCCGCCAGCCGGGCCCCAGGGCTGGGAGATGAGCTGGCTGCGGAACTTGAGGACCAGGCTGAAGACGCTGTGGATGACGTTCATGACCGGCGCCGCCTTCTCGGTCAGCAGGCCCCTGGGGGGAAGCGGGGACTGCGGTGGGTGCGCCTGAGCCGGGGGCGCGCCACAGGCCCGCACCTCACCTGAAGACTGCCTTGTGCAGGTATTCGGCGTGGGCGCGCTGTATCTCCTCCAGGTCGCCCACCGAGGCCAGCTTGGCCTGGAACTCGCACCAGCTGACGTGCAAGATCTGGTTGGCGATATAGCCCTGGGTGACCTTGACGAAGTGCTGCATCTCGTGCTTGAAGAGCTGCAGCTGGCGGAACTGCACCGAGCCGGCCGCCTGGCTCACGCGCGCTGCGGGAGGGGGGGGGGAACAGTGAGTACAGCTGCGGGCAGCGCGGGCGCCCCGGGCCCACCAGGCTCACCTGTGCGCTTGAGGTGGAAGCAGATGTCCTTGAGCGTCCACATCATAAGCTTCAGTTGCAGCAGGAAGGAAAAGATGCCGCCGTACCTGCTCAGGCAGCCCTCGGTGACCACGATGTTGAGGGGCCAGTCGACCTGCCAGGGAGGCTGGCTCAGCATAGCTGTGTCCTGGGACTACCCCCACCGCCCGCGCCACGGGGCGCTGCTGACCTTGTACCTGAGCTCCAGGCAGCTCAGCACGTCTGGGGCGTTGGGGGCAAATGTCTCAGGCAGGAACTTGAGGGCGAAGGAGAGGTTGGCAGCATGCGGGCTGTCGCCGTGCAGGCTGTATTGCAGGGCCTTGCTCAGCACCGAGTTGAGCACCAGGGGGCTGAGAAGCTCCCCGGGCGTCTGCCCCGCCCCGAGCTGCAGGGACAAGAGAGAGAGTCCCAAAGCGTCCAGAGCCCGCCCGCCACCCCTCTGGCGCCTGGCCCGCCTGGGCTTACCTTCTCAAAGAGCAGGTCACTGAGGGACTGGGCAAACTCCCCGTCCTCCATCAGCAGGAAGTGCCGCAGCGCCTCAAAATGCGCCCCAAGGTTCAGCTCCACGAAGAAGTAGTCGACCACCGCCTTGTTCACCAGGGAGACGCTGGCGAGAGGAGCCTGGCGTTACTGACCGTCAGGGGGCGGGGCGGGGCGGGGCCGGCGGGGCAGGGTGGGCAGGTGCTCACTGGGCAGCCAGCGGGGCAGTAACGGAGTGCTTCATGAGCACAGGCAGTGGCAGCAGCTCGCTCAGCTGCACGGCGCTCTCGTCCGCGTCTGATGGGACCCCGGTGTCCTCCGGGAGGGCGAAGGCTCGGGGAAGCCCGTGGTGCAGAAGGCGGGCGACGGGAGGCTCCGCTGCGGGGTGACAGACTGCAGTGACGCGCCAGGGACATGGGGCCAGGCTGCCTCTGCCCGCCTCCGTGGCCGGCCCACTCACACATGGCCTCGTAGCTATCCGGGTACTGCTCCAGGCGGTACTGCCCCGCCAGGTCCGCCAGGTAGGCCTGCTCCCGGTCCCAGCGCTGGGCCGCCGCCTCACCAGGGTCAGGGCTGCTCTGGACATCTGCATCCTCCTAAGACAACCCAGCCTCGAGGAACCCGCCTCCTTCCCTCGTGGGAGAGGAACAAGCAGGCAGGCAGAGCAACCCCCCCCCCCCCACCTGTCACCCAGTCCCAGGACGGAGCCCTCCCTGCCCATGAAAGGCCCAGCACACCCCCCCACCCCTGACCTGTGAGCCGAGAGAGAGGTCCCTGGAGTCCTCACTCATCCCCACGCCTAAGCAGAAGAAATGGGGCAGGAGAGGGGGGTCAGGACCAAATGCCTGCAACAGGGCAGCACCACCCCCGCCCCCCTGCCGGCCGCCCTGTCCTGGGCTCACAGACGCCCCCAGGGGCAGGACAGCTCTGGGTCCCACTGACCTGGCTCTTCCAGGGTGCCATCTCCCAGAGCAGCGGGTACAGCCTCAGCAGACAGCGAGGCCTGGGGGCCACCCTCCTCCCTGTAACCAGGGTCTGGTCCAGCCACCTGTGTACTGGAGCTGCCTGAGGCTGTCTCCACAGGCAGCTGCAGCGTGTGTTCCTGGACTCCCGAGCTGAGGCCCAACTGGGGCCCGGAGTCTGGGTGACCCAATGGGGGCCTGGGCAAATTGAGCTCGGCTTCCCCGGGGAGCACCCCCAGCGTCACACTGGACTGAGAAACGTGTCCATGGACGCTCCACCGTGGCCGGGAGGGCGCCACATCCCACACATTCTCCCCCACCCGGATGCTGGCATCAGACACGTGTCCATGGACATTCCACCGTGGCCGGGAGGGGGCCACATCCCACACATTCTCCCCCACCCGGATGCTGGCGTCAGACACGTGTCCGTGGACATTCCACCGTGGCCGGGAGGGGACCACGTCCCACACATTCTCCCCCACCCGGATGTTGGCATCAGACACGTGTCCATGGATGTTCCACCGTGGCCGGGAGGGGGTCACTCCAGAAACCCAGCCCGCTCTGGGAACACCAGGCTCCGCCCCGAGGACCTGCACCGTGGCCGGACGGCGCTCCTCCGGGGGGGAGGGGTGCTGTGGGGGGTCCGGGCCACAGGTGTCCAGTGGCTCATGAGTGTCCTCCCGCAGCTGCTGCCCTCTGCTGCCCAGGCTGCCTCTTGCAGTCTGGAGTGCCCCTGCAGAACCTGGGGCAGCTACAGCGGGCCTCAGGATGGTTCTGAAGTCATACTCCTGTGGCCCAAAAGGTGCTGAGTCCACTGCTGTGGACGGAGCCACGGGAGGCAGGGCGGAGCCAATGGTCTGCAGTGCGTCTTCCAGGACAGGGGCCGAGCTGCTGAGCCCAGGCTCAGTCCCCTGGGCCACGGGCAGGAAGTCTCTGAGGCTGAGGCCCGGGGAGAACGGCCCCGGCTCCTCTGCCTGCATACACAGCAGGCCTGCCCCTGGCCCCGCACCACAGGCCCCAGCTCCTGGAGACTCGAGGGGCTGCAGCCTGAGTGCGCTCTGCCCATGAGGGCCGGCCGGTGCCGCTTCCCGTGGCTCCTCACACTCGGGGTCACAACTGCTGCCTCTATCAGCGGGCGCAGGGCCCAGAAAGGAGACCTGAAACACAAGCGTACATGGGTTCCCCCTGGTGTCTGCTTCTGTCCTCCGGGTTCAGTTCTACACCCAATACTCAAGCCCATGAAAGGGGACAGTGGGGACACATGCCAGGCCTGGGGCAGCCAACTCAGAGCCCACTCTCCATGGCCTCGGTCCTACCTGGTCCCCTGCCCGTGAGTGGGCACTTGTCTGGGAGCAGGCACCAGGGAGGACGGCCAGCTGCTCTACGGGTCTCCCCTTGGCCACGGCCTCTAGCATCCCCTGAAATAGAACCAGCAGGACGTGAGCGGGGAGCGCCTATGCAGCGGGGCTCACACAGCCCCGGCACCACGATTGCCAACGGGGCGGGGTTCACACAGCTGCCCAGAGCCTGGTTGGCTTTCCGCACCGCCCGTGTCACTTGAGGGCAGCCCAGCCTCTGCTGGTCACGCCCCTCTGAGCACCTGGTGATAGTGTCACGCTAACCCACAACGGGCACGCGTGGGTCTGTGTGTGACGTCAGGGCTCCTGGGTCCCCGAGAGCCCAGGGAAGAGCTCCTGGGTGACAAGAGGCAACACCTGAACGCGCTTCTCGTCTTCCAGGAGAAAGCGAAGCCGCGCGCTGGCCAGCCTGCGCCTCCGGGCCTCCCACAGCGCCTTCTGCTCCCGACGAGCCGCCTCTGCAGACAGCTTGCTGTAATGAGCCACCAGCGCCTGCCTGCAGCCACCCAGACAGGACGGGTCACCAGTCACCCCACTGTCCAGCCAGTGCCCCGTGCGGGGGGCCCCCGATGGGAAGCCTGCCCCCGAGCCCCTTCCCCAGGTGGGCAGCTGGCCCCTTGGAGCCCCCACAACACCTGCAGGGCATCGCTGGGCAGGGCTCCGCCTCCCTGCCAAACGGGAGCCCCCGGCAGGCAGGCACAGTGAGGTCACCCAGAGCAAACCCCAGAACAAGCCTCCCCACAGCCTGAAGCACAGGGGTCGGTGTAGGCCAGGGGCTCACACCCTCTCGGAGGCGCGACCTCGGCCCTCACTGCTGGCGGTTCTTGTGCTGCCGTGCCAGCTCCAGAGCACCGAGAGGTGATGCGAAGGGCATGGGGTAGTGGGAACATCTCACTTAATTCAAAGCTGGCCATGTTACACCCAATGATGGGGACCCTCTCACCAGCACGAAGCTGGTTTCACACCCAGACTGGCCATTTTTAATTCAGCTGCCACAGGCCAGGGACACACCCTCCACACCTAGTTTCCTCCACATGTAAACAAGAGAATAACATCTACTCACACACACACGTGTACACACCCAAGTCAGAATGAATGCACACAGACACACGTGCACTCAGCACTGACTGGCTCTGTCACAGCTCCATGAACAGTCCCCGGGGTCAGGACCACTGACCAGGGGACGAGGAAAGGGAGGGGCTCCTTCTGAGGTGCCAGCTGTGCTGCCAGCTCGCAGGAAATGCAGGGAGGGAGGGAGGGAGGTCACAGCACAAGACAGACTCCCGGACGCCGCGCTGGGTAAATCCCTGTCTCTCAGTCAGGCTACTAACAGGTTTAAAGACAAATTTAAGGAACAGAGGCAGTTTAACTTAAAGG